TTTGCTCTCAAATATACTCTTCCGATCTTTTACCACTTGTAAAAGAAAACAGTGAGAACGTGAGGGCCAACATGTAAACGTAGAAAACTCTTCACTGTCATTTAAGTGTCTCCACTGAGGGAGTCAGCCAGAGCACCCACAGAAAACCCATGTGGAAACAGGGACTCAAACCAAGAACCCACTTGCTGTGAGGCGAGGGTCCCAACCACTGCACCGCCCAATCCAACGTCTTCCTATGACAAATATTCTACAAACAATTTCCTCTTGTGAATTTATTAGAGCTGGAGCAGCTTTAATTGATGTACTTAAATACTGCTGTGTGTTGGAAATCCTTGGAAGATTTGTATTTTGAACGTTTTGTGCATTTTTCTATTTTCCACAAACCACTGCTTCAGGTGTTTTTGGGGGGGGGCGGGGACGGTTTTGACCCTTTGACCGAATGTGAACGTCACGCTGCTTCTTACAGAAACAATTTGCGACGCTGTGACATCAGGATGATACAGTCACAACAACAAAAACAACAAACGTGTGTCAATAGCATCTTTAACTCTGTGGGGAGACTGTGGTAATCAGATTAACAGGGTTAGAGGGTCTGGAAGGAGGAGGGGGGGGGGGTCTCTGTGTGCGTGTGTGACGAGATAGCAGATGTAACAGCCAGACTTAGACCGTCTGTTTCTGATTTCTGTCTCAGTGTCTCTCTCCGTCTGACCGACTGAGTGATCGACTGTCCGTGACATCATCAAAACAAAAAAAAATCCCAAAATGTCACATTTTGAATCATAATAAATTACAGGAACTATGTTTCCTCCAGAAAATTAGATATTAGTTCTTTGTCAGAAACACGTTTGCACATTCAGCTCTTTTTTTCAAGCAACAGCTAGAAAATACAGATGAGTAAGTTTAATTACAGAAACTGGAAATGACTGATTACATTTTGAGAAGCTGACACAACCTGACACAGCTGCTCTTACGTCACAGGACTGTGATCAAGCAGCAGCCGTTGTAATTTCATAGTTAAGAGTCAATCAAATAGAAATTAAACTTTGATTCACAACATTATCTATCGTATGCATTTTTCTTGACGGGATGAAAAAGCAGCTGTTTTTCCAGCTTTAAACACGACTTGACCCACAATTTAAAAGTTCCACTTCTCCACAAAGTTTCTTTAAATGTCTTTCCTCCCTGTCCTCCACCTGAGTCACTCCCTCTCACCACAGGCTTTGTCTCAGTCTGGTTCTCCCAGGCCGCCTCCGTCTGTCTCCCCCCACACGTCTCCGCGGCCCAGATCGTGCCTCGGCCTCCCCGAGCCGCAATGTTTAGACAAACCGAAAGAGACAGAGACGCGCTGACTGTGAAGGGAGAGTGACGCCGAAGTTTCCGCCTTCTCGTTCTCTGTAACTAACCCTGATGTTTTGCCTCAGAGGCTTTAAAGGCTGTATCGTAAATCCCTGAGGAGTAAACACACCATGAGAAGACTTTCAGATTCTTTTTTTTTGCAGTGCTTCTTTTGAATGCGACGTTATTCCCCCAAAAAAACTAAAATTTCTTCTGTGCAATGTTTTTTTTGTGGGTTGAGGGATAAAGTTACAGTGACTCAAGTCGTTTAGATAAAGGATGGAAGGATAAACAGACAGATGTGAATTATCAGAGTTTTTCAAATGTTTTAAAATCTGCATGTTGCTTTATATATATAAAAAAAACTAGGAACACAGGAACACAGGAATGCCCAAAACATATTTCCCACCCACACATTTTGTTTTCCACAGTTTATTCAGCCATACCTCAAACATTTGTCGCCCAGAAACCTCTGGATTATGCTGTTCAGGAAGAAAAGGGAAACAGTCGGTCTTTATTTTTGGCAGACGACATGGAAGTCTGGCTTCTTAAAGCAGCAGCGGTGACATGGGCTGTGGTGGTGGAGGTGGTGGAGGTGTCTCTTCCAGGGTAGCGGATGCTGTTTTTGGGTCACAGCGACTCCCTGTCTGCCTGAAACATTTCTGTCATCTGTCACACATCCATCCCCTGGATCCTTCTATCCTCTTTCTGCTGAACCTCCTCATCACGTGGATTTGTTGTCAGAAGAGGCAGAAGTGCTCTTTAAATACATTATTCAACTACATTTTATATGTGAGGCTGCATTCGTGCATGTGTTTACAGTGCAAAGTCCAAACCACCAACACCTGAACCCTGCACAGTCAAGAATAAAGCCTCCTATCAGAGCTCTGGATTCTCTCCAGCTCATTTTCTCTTTCTCTGGGATCCACTGTTTGCCGTCCAAGTCAATACTCTCCCTGGCTTCGGGTTTTCAATAGCCTGACTCCCCGGGCGTGACGGAGACATTCTCTCTCAGCCACACTTCAAAGAATATGTCAGATGATATTTGCAAGGACACATATTGATTCTCTGTCTTTCCTTCCGAGAGGAGAATATCAGCATAGAGCAGATTAGTCTTCGTATTTCTCTCCCGACCTGCAGAGTCGGCTCAGACGCGAGGGGGAATCCTGGAGTGTCAGACGGCGGGGTGGGTGACCCACGGTGGAAATTTCTAAGTGTGCTTTAAAGTTATCACAGAGAAAAGTATTGTTTCTGCCATGGATACTGGAAGTAACAAGCAGTAAAAACCCCAAACACACTTTTTTATTGTTGCAGCCTGGTGACAGAGTGGAACACTGAGGCGGCAGAAACAAAACTGTGTAGTGTAGTGACAGTCGTGGTCGACCGGCGACGTTTCCAACCACATTTCTGACACACCCTGGACATTTTTTTCCTTTAAATCCAGACGACTCCTGAAAACAGCGGGAAACTAAAGCCGTCATTTCACCCTTAAAACCAGAAAGAGTTTAAAAACGCTATTTATTTAAAGTCAAAAGACAAATGTGACTGAACCAAACTGGGCCCTTGATGAAAGGAAGATTTAGCTGCAGAGGGAAGGAATGTGGTTTCCTGCTCATGCAGAGACCTCCAGACAGAAGCTGACGGTGTTCCCCCGGCTGTTGTTTCATGCATCTTGTGACATGATCAAAGGGGAACACTATCAATGTTCTAATCATCGCATGCAGGACACTTTTCATGGGACAGATAACGAGGAACAATCGGTGCATACCTTTGTGTTTGTGCAGACAAGACAATGGTCTACAAAGAGTGGCCGTGCAAAACTATCCTGTCAGCTTGATGCTGTTTTATGATTTTTTTTTGTGCAGATGACAGATAAATACCCTCAGAGATTCAAATGATTAAAACATTTATATTCTCAGGGAATTGCAGATTTATTTTTAAAGGAGACACATTTAGCGTGTGGCTCAGGCTCCAGCTTTCTATTCGAGTCGAAGAGAAAACTAATCATGCTGATATTCTGTTCTCTGTGTCCAAACCCAACGAGAGGCCAACATGACTGAAGATCATAAAACAAATTGATGCGAATATCTTTTTTTCCAATTGTCCCTAGATGTCCCTTCAGATTGGGGTTAGGTTTCCCCACTCAAGGACAAATTATGTTTTCTCAATTTCCAAAAGTTCTGCAAAGTAAAGAAAGTCCACAGATAGGGAAGTCTGGACGATATACTTATGTGGAATCAACATTTTGCAGATTGCATTCCTAGTTGCTAGTCTGACACGCCCCCTAACAAAGCCAGGTGACGGAGGCCGACGTTTCCGACATGTGCATGAAGCGGTTGACCAATCGCAATGGAGTGAGGATGAGGAGGAGCTCAGGCTTTATCAAGAGAGGCCTTAAAGAGACAGGAGCTAAACGAGACTGAAAAGAGGAGCTGCAGCAATGAACAATATGACGCTGACGTGTTTTCTAAACTTTAAAGTTTGTAAATATGTTTGAGTGATAAGAAAAATTTAAACGATCAAACTGAATAAACGTAGGCCTGTAATATGTCTCCTTCAATGGTTAACGATACGTCCACGCTATAATACCGCGATTTAATCCAAATCCTAAAACTCAATTTACACAGTCAACAAATCACCTCAGCATTAAAGGAGGCGTGTGCGGCTCTGATCACCTTCGGTCCTTTGAAAGTAAACACCTCCAGCCGCTCGGGGGAAGTTAACCTACAGTGAAATGTACTGTAGCTACAGTGTAAAGGCGAATGTGTCGAACGGGTCCCGCTGTGGCTGCCTGCTCTGACATTCCTCCTCATCACTCATGTTGTTCTTGGCACTGGCAGAACATTCTTACACCTGGACTCTGTGGAAACTGCTTTCCTGTCGTACGAGAACACTCGGCCCCTCTGTGGTGCCGACTGCCAGACAAGCAGAACACATGATGGGTGCTTCAAATGAAAACACACACACACACACACTTGTAGGTAAACACAGTCAGGATCAAGAGTTAAACCAGAGCAAGCTTTCATATCTGTGAGGAAATAAGGGAAAGGAAGTTCTGCTTTCAAAATAAAAGCACTAAAAAAGTGATGAAGAATACTCATCCACACAATAAGATGGAAACACAAAGATTCTCCATTAAGCCTTTTTTTTTCAGCAATATAAAAACATTTCCAGACAAACATTCACACTGGAACCATAACGATGCTTTACAAATCAACGGACATGAAGTGGTGTTGTCTGGGACAGGCAGGAAGTTCAACAAATCAAATCAAAGCACACCTAAATAATCAGAAACAACAATGACACTGCTTCATATACAACTCAAACAAGCAAACACAAGCATGCCAGGTGGAGGGACAGCAAATTTTTGTTGGACCCAAGTTAGACCGAGCAAGATTATGAAGAAACTTCATAAATCAGAAAATGTATAAAGGTTTTCCATCATTTCACATCTAATTCTCTTATGTAAAGACCTTTTTAAACATGGTCTATCGTCCATGTGGTGTTAAATCAACGCTCGACGAGCATTACAAACATTTCTCCTGACACACTCTCTGTGTTCTACTTCACCTTCCCAACAAACATTTTCAGGAAGGTTTTCGTTCTCGCCTGTTTTATTTTGACAAGGAAGATCAGTGGTCGGCTGATTCACTTCCTCTGACTTTACAACCTCAGACTGAGCTCAGCTGCAGCAGCTCAGACCAGACTGCGCTCACACACTGACACACACACAGACACACACAGACACACACCGTGGCGGTTCATCATCCTGCTGCCCAGCATCATGAGCTCTGCTCCTCGGACTCGCTCTCTGCTCTTTACCGGATAAACGTTGGACTTATTTACGCTCGTATCATGGGAATATACCGTCGGTGCGCTCGGCTCCGTGGATGTGTACAGCCTTGATGGAAACCATGTCACCGCAGCAGGGGACCATGGGACAGAACAGGTCCGACTCTCTGACCGGAGAGAGCAAGGCGCCCACCGAAAACAAAAAGGTAACAGCGGCGCTTCTCTGCTGATGGAGCAGTGGCTCCGGACACTGTGCGTCCTGTGCGTATTTACGCACAGAGATTCCAGGCGCTTTCAATTAGGATACGTTTGCAGATTCAAATCAGACTCTTGTGAAATGTGAAACTTAATTTTTTTTCGATACAAGAATCATGACAGAACCAGGGTGTGAGTTTTTTAAAGTGACTTTAAAGACTGACTGTGGATGATTTATGCGTAAAATGTCAGAGTTGTTCGGTTTAATCGCTTATTTCCATATTTATTTGCTGGACTACTGAAGTTCCCTTTTTGGTCTGGTCTTGGAAATCTGCATTTGTTTCTTCTGCTTCACACCAGGTCAGTTTCTTGGGCTGGATAATGATTAAGTCGTTGGTGATAAGAGCTGTTTTAAATAAAGTGCATATCGAATTTGTTTGTTAAATGAACATTTAAACCCCTGTTAAGCACTTTTCATTTTATTTGGTGTTTTGGATTTCTCATTTGAAAACCTGGATATGATTTTAAACGCGTAAAATCCACCTACATTGTGATATTTATGATAATATTATTTCTAACCGGGAGAAACGCTCAAATCCACTAACAAGAGACATTGTTAGTCACTGTTATCTCAAATAAATGTCTATCTGACTGAGCTGAAGAGAAACCAAACTGCAGAACAGGATAACGAGCTGATAGTGATGATTTATCAATCAGACAGACAAAGCAATGATCAGCTTCTCTGGCCTCTCGAAAGTTAAGCTCCTTCTTTAAACAACAAAATTAAACTCTAGTTTTTAACATATGATTCGTGGCCTCTGACTCTCATGTGGTTTAACTGAGCTGCAGTTACTTTAGTTTCCCCCCCCCCCCCAGTTTTTGGTGACCGGCTCTGATTGAAGATGTAGTAAACAGCGCCCCCCTCCAGTGCATTTTAAAATAAAGATTGAAGTATTTTTCTGCAGCATCTCAGCAGGATGTGTAGAACTCATATCTGCTAAAATGCTGCAAATAAATAAATAAATGCAAAGTCAGCCATTGTCCACATTTGGAGTCTTATTTAAACATGTGTTTTAATATAAATGCCATCATCTGCAGAAAGAAGGCTGAGTTTATATGTAGAATTATATATAGATATGTATTTCTGTCCCTGTTGATTGGGTTTTAATGGTATAATAACTTCACCAGTTTGGCTCCAGATTAATCAACCAAAGACGGATGGTTTCAGTTCAACAGTTAGAGCTGAAGGACCATTACTGTGTTATTGTCTAATTTCTTCACCTCCAACGCAGGATATGCACGGCCGTGTTTTTACACAAGGAAACTTAATGTTTTCCCAAGTATTTCACCACTTCCCCGGGCCGCTGCACTCGGTCGTGGTTTGGAAAGTTTCTGCGCTCAGCTCAGCTCTGGGAAGTTGTGAGAAATGAGCTGTCATCCGGCCACCTCCAGAGAAACTGGAGCCGCGCTTCATTGTCACGGACGGAGAAAATACTCAGAATGCAGAGTTTCCACATGCCTCCCTGCGCTCCGATGCTGTTCTTCTTTGTTTCTGTCCAAATGTTGAGGCTTTATTTGACATGTGTAGATGGTCTCTCTGCTGATATGATAACATTGGTGTTTTCTTGAAGTTAGAGCTCACAGTTCAGGATTCCTCTTTGATTTCTGTGCAGTCGTCATCCTCTGAGATTTCAGGACTTACATGTGCAGCAGTGATATGACTATTGAGCTTCGTGTGAATATGATGTATCTGATTATGAACTTTAGAGTAGTTGCTTGTAGAAGATACCAGCAACTACTGTACATTCCTGTTTACATGTGACAGATCATAGTCAGTAGTTGCTGAGCATGAAGCTGTCACCAAACGGTTTTAAAGCTCAAACAGGAAATTATAATGTGATTAAGATGCGTCCACATCATGTGACTGAGGTCAAACTTTACCACATCTGGTACGATTCGTAGAATGGGAAAAATGAGGCTCCGAGGTTAGAGCGGTCATCCCCTAAAGAAGGTCGGTCGGTGGTTTGATTCGTTCCCCTTCTGCATGCCGAAGTGTCCTTGGGCAATATACCCATAATGCCCCTTCTCATAGATGCACTGTGTGAATGGCTAAAAAACTTGTGGAGAATTTCCGACTGTGCAGATTCAGCTGAGTCAGTTTCTAACATGAAACTAATGAAATCCTAAAACCAACCTCAAACATGACGTCTCCCTCCTCCTCCGACTGTTAAACTGTTGTCGGGGCAGTTTGTCTGTCGTGTGTCCTCTTCATCTCGAAGTTTGTGAAAAGTAGATGAATCATTCTTTTGTCCGGACATTTTTTATAGTTTGATGTTGTGACTGTGGACTCAATTTCTCATCGCGAACGCTATCGGAGAGGAATGTGACACCAATAAGTCTCTGCAAAGTTTGACTTATTTCATGTACATTTGAATTTCTAACTGTTTCCAGATTAGCAGTTGTGTATATTTGGAGGGTGTTTATGTGTCACACGTTTTTGGAATGTCGTCGATAGATCGGCTTTAAGTGGAATGGCTGTGGTTGCCACGGGGATGACTGTCATACTTGAGGCTGCTCGCAATTCATCATGTTACAGTGAGAATAAACGAGGGATCGTAAACATTGTGCAACACCACTCTTCTGATCCACCTTTCAACAATTTCACTCACTTCCTCTTTTTCCTCTTTGCTGCTGTCACTTCTCTTTTTGTTTAGTTAACTCCTCAGACACACACACACACACACACACACACACACACACACACACACACACACACAGGATCTTTTTTCCATTTCCCTGTCTGCCTTTATTTCCTGCAAGCTTCGAGCAGTGCTGGTTTTGTGCTCTGCGTTTCCATTTGGCCTCCTTCTCAATAACCACCATACAGAATGCCATTTATCATGGGATGCCAAATGGTGCAAACCATCATGTTCAGTCAGCACTTGCATTGATTACCCCCCCCCCCTCTCTCTGACTGCATAGAAGATGAAGACCTTGGCCCAAAGACGACAGTCAGCTCCTTCGCTGGTCATCAGCAAAGCACTTACCAGATCGAGAAGCACGTCCAGGTATGAGCTCCCACACACACACACACACACACACACACACACACACACACACTTGGGCTCTGACATCATTGTTGGCCTGCAGTTTGTCAATGGAGCGATGATTTCTCTCAGGAGAAAACTGCAATTTGTAGCAGAGTTTTATTTCTTCCTCGTTCCGTATGAATTTAGATTCCTCAGATTTAGGGTTTAAGGGATTTGTAAGCTGTTTTCAGACAAGAGCACAGACCGGGACATTTTCCTGAAATGTTCTGGATTTAGGTTTTAAGGGTTTAAAAGAGAGAAATTTAGCCCCAGAATCACTAACGCAGGGATTTAAGGAAGTGAAACACAGATATTTTAGAGGCTAGAGATTCCGATTATTTCCCACTCTGCTTTGAACGCTGGCTTCCCAGACTCATTCATGGCTTAGAGCGGGGTTTAAATGCTTACCTCTCTCAGAGCTATCAGGATTTTCATCACCCTTGCCCATTATCAAACAAATCCTTTCCTCTTCCTTTCAACAGGGTCGGAAATAAGCCATTAAAAACCTCTCAGGGGAAGCATGTACTTACCAGGAACTTCACTGTGTTTAACTTAACTCTTTGCCTGTGTCACTTTTTTAGGGATTTTTGGGGAATTTCATGGACTTTATTTCTCCTCTAAACCCTTTTAGACTTTAATATCAAAGTTTATGTGCCGCCGTATTGTCTCCATCGAGGAAGTGCCTGTCTGGTGTGTTTATGATGCGTGTGCATGCTAGTGGCAGTTTTTAGTGACGGCACAGGGAGGTCAGGTTTGGCCGCTGAACTGTGAAACAGGACCATTAAGACCAGCGCTGAGGGAAACTCTTCACACTTTTAAATGGGTCAGTGCTCATGGGGCAGAGTGTGTGTGTCTGTGTGGGTGTGTGTGTGCAGAAGAAAGTTAAAACAACTCATATTCTGCTTGCAAGCTCAGAGGGAGGGAGAGACAAGTTCTTGAGTGAAAGACAAATAGACTGACAGAGTCTCTTAGTCTGTCCAAGTCCGTCCAGTGTGTATGTGTGTGTGTGTGTGTGTGTGTGTGTGCGTGTGTGTGCGTGCATGCTTTACAAGTCAGGAGGTATGGAGCCAGGGCTTGACACTCTCAGCTGTCACCTTTGACCTTTGACATCTCGTCAGGAGGTGCATGGGCCGCTCTGGGTCATCTGGGGTCAACACCTCTCATGTCGTGTGAGGTGTTCATTAATGTCCGGATGTGTGTGTCTGTGTGTGTGTGTCTGTGTGTGTGTGTGTGTCTGTGTGTGTGTGTGTGTGTGTGTCTGTGTGTGCGTGGTGGTCAGGTGACTCACAGTAGGTGAATGTGAAAGATCACCAGCGTGATTATTGTGCAGGGGCTGTCAGTTATTTCCATATTTTCAGGATGATTGATTTAATTTCTGGATTTTCTTGGTTTCTTTTTTGTTTGTCATGAATTTGTTCTGACAGCGTTTCATGGTAGCTGTGGTATAAAAACTATAAACCCCCAAAGTGCTATTAATACAGTTTTTATGGATAAACAAGTAGCGCCAGAAATACTTGGCAGTGGGTTTCACAGCACAGCAACACCACTGTTCTCTTCCTCCAAATAATTCTGCTGGCTCAGGTGGTTATTACAAAAGAAGGAAAGTAGCTTCGCTGTATTTGTCGTCCTGAGAACTTTCTACAATCACAAATGAAAGAAGGATTTTCTTCTTATATCAGAATCAGGAAGATTTTTCAGTTTTGTTACTTCGAGACAACGGCGACCACAAACCACATCGGTTCTTTCACATCAGCCACATGAGCGCCGTTACTCACAAGTAACTTTAGTTCAGTAATATCTCACAAACCCTGCACTCGTGTTTGTCAGTTTCACATATCTGTATCGTGATGAATTATTATATGATTCTAACAAATCGATCGCATTGTATCATGAGTTATTCTGCAATTCGCACCACTTTTAACAGTGTTTTAACTTTAACCTTTTTTAATATTTCTGTCTGATTATTAAAAATGTAATTTAACCTTAAAAAAAACAAGTTCTGATTTGCTTAGTTTGATTGATTTCATTTAAAAAAAAAATCCAACATATTACATTGGTACATAGACATTTTTTACAGCCTTTACATTTGCTATTGTTATTAAAACCACTAACCTGTAGCCCTGTGTTGTCATGTTAGCTTCTTCAGTGTGGCTGTGGCTCAGAAGGTAAAGCGGGTTGTCCATTAATCATAGGGTCACTAGTTTGATTCTCCATTTGCGCAGATGCGTGCTAGATATAGAAGCAGTGTGTGGATGTGTGATTGTATTTAAAAGCGCTTTGAGTTGTCGTTAAGTTTAGAAAAGTTCATGAATGCAGCTTGTTTACCGTCTCAGGGAAATACAAGGTTTTCACCATATTTCTTCTTCGCACGCTTTTATCTTTCCTCCTCTTCCAACCTCAATAAACAGCATCAGCTCTGTTTAAGAACCATCCAACAGCTCAGCCTGGAATCAGAGAATTACTTAAGGACAAAGGATCTTTTCACAAACTCGAGTTCTTGCTCTTGTTCTTATAACAACAGCTTGGAAATTAAATTTGTTTTAATGTTAGACAAATTAGAAACATCGGCCGAATGCCTGAAAAATAAATGTGAACTCATGACTGATTTCATTAGAGATTTATACATTTAACAGCTTTAATACCTGAGGGTCCTGGCTTTCCCATCAGGCCAAGAGACGCTGAAAGGCTCTTTGGCCTTCAGCTCAGCCACTTACATCACCTGCACACACAAACACACACACACACACACAC